GGGGGCGAGGCACTGAGGATGACCAGCCGAACAAGGTCAACACGCGGGGGCTGCGAGGGTTATCGATCGGACTTTGTTGACTCTGTCCCCGCGGCAGTGGTGAGTGGGCGCCTGAATTCTAGTGGAACGTTGCCAGGGGCATCGGCTGGCGGTCGGTGTTTATTTTGCTGACGATTGCGCTACGGCACACTGGGACGATTCCTGCCAGACATTCTGATTGGTGGCGAACCTGTGACTCGCTTTGAACTGGATGGTAGAGAGCAGCTGCGTAAGACGACACCGCACTGAGTTGGGTCATCAGGACCTGTAAGTTCGTGTCAAGTCGCCTCAGTCGCCTGTTTTCGTCGCGCGTCAGCCGGCAGCTGGAAGTGGACGCTTGGACGTGCCGTCATTACCACTCGCCTGCTTCCGAGCCGTCGTTTCGGGGCGAGCGCGCCGCGGCGGCGGTGCGGCGGCGCTCCGCCTCTCCGCCGTTGTTGAGCGATTGCCACGCTACGGCCTCGCTTGAGCCGCCGGTCGATAGCTCAAGTGCAGCGCAAGGCGCGCCCGCCGGCCCCGCACGCCCCGTGACGCCCGGCCCGGCCCGCCGGCTGACTAATGGCGCGCGGTGTGACGCCCGCGTGGCGTGCCCGGTGGCAGACCTGGTCGGTGGGGGGGGGGGGGGGGGGGGGGGGGGGGGGGGTGGGGGGGGGGGGGGGGGGGGGGGGGGGGGGGGGGGGGGGGGGGGGGGGGGGGGGGGGGGGAGGGGGGGGGGGGTGGGGGGGAGGGGGGGGGCAGCGGACGCCAGGGCACGCGGTTGACGCCCGCGTGCATGCCCGATGACAGACCTAGCGGGGGGGGGGGGGGGGGGGGGGCAGCGAACGCCAATGGCACGCGGTGTGACTCCGAGGTCTGTGAGCCGGATGCCGGGGTCAGCGCCGGGGCTCGTGCCGCCAGTCGGCTCAAGGACATATCAAGGTCACGAGTGCCGTGTGTTATTGGAATGATATTCCAAGCCGTAGTGGATATTTCAATGGGAACCCATTTCCTCACGAATCGAATCGAATTCGTCAAAAACGCTTCGAGAAGAATTTATGATCAGCTAGTATACCGTCACACAGGCGTACGTACATAATGTAACCTGAGGTGCGTGCCTTATGTTATTCAATTTTTGGAGCGCATTGCTGTGCAAATGGCAATTGTCCCGTTGGAAATCCAGGTAGCCCCGTAACTAAGGAGATTGAAATAGGTGGTGGTGTTTTAACATGCGCAACAAAGTATGCGCGCCCGCGGCGTTCTTAACTCCATTTTCATGGAAAGGCTGAGTTGAATCCCCTCTCACAGCGAAATTCTGCACAAGCCTCAGCAGCCATGGATTTCCAATCGCGTAAGGAATGCAGCGGCGGGTTTGCGCTGGTCACATCATCTGAATATATGCTTTGATGTGTCCAGTATTTTCACGTTAGATGCAAGGTCGTGAACAGGGACATATTCAGACCGTTCGTTGACTCCGTCTCCTCCTGTTGCGGGGCCCTGGGGCCACTGGAGTCGGAAGGCTGGCCTTCCGGACACATCAGTCAGCTGTTTGTGTATTTGTGCGTCTGCGCAGGGTAAGAGTGCATCTGGTCAGTCGTCAAAAATGGGGAGCATGTACCGAGCGGCCGTAAACTCTGGTCGGAGGCATGCAGCTGATCCCTGGCTGCACCTAACGCCTCGCCCCATGTTTCAGCCGTCTTTTGAAGCCAAAACGTGCCAGCAAACCTGCGCCACTTCCCAATTAAGACGCATCCGTCACATTTACGTTGAATCTCTACAAAAAGGCAAGCTCTGTAAAAAAAAATGCAAAAAATAGGATGAATGGTGGTTTTGAATAGCGGTTTTAATGATGCCAGGTGCTCAACAACATCCTAGTCGTGCCTAAATTAACCGACTTGGCCAACCGTTGGCCCGATTGTGTCCGACGGCTCCTCCCACCTCAATAAAAGGGTGATTTAGGGCGTAGAATACGACCAAGCTGCTCACGACACGCGCTTTTTTACATTTGAACAAATGCAAGCTTTTGTATATAGTTCACTTAACGATAGGAATGGATCAACTCAGGCTCCCGCCAAAACTACGGCTCTGAAGGATGCAGTGTGCATGCAGAGCTGGTCTTAAAGCATGGCATAACTTCGTGATATCATTTAGAGGGAGTTGAGCTCCTTTTCTGTTTGTTGTGTGTTGTCTTGTGTTGTGTTTCTATTTCCAGAGCTTTTAGGTTTAACCGTCAACATATCGCAATAAGCTCAGAGCTTTAGCTGGGAAGGGCAGCACATAGGTGCATTTCAGAAAGTATAGTTCGTTGGATCGCGCCTATGAACTCCAGTGTTCATCATCCTTGCTCCATATAATGTCTACATGTATTTCTTCGCACATTTACATTGCCCCACGTTTTCATAAAAAGCCCCTCAACAAATTCAAACAAATATGTGTCTTAACTTCTCACCGTTCTCAAAGAATAGGCTGAAAAACTTGATCATTTTCTTGCATTTAAGCTGGTTTCTAAATGAATTTAATGATAAGTAACGTCATAAATTATGAGTACTGTGAGAATAGATAATAAGCATTTGCTTTGCACTCACGCACTTTCCACGAGGCATGGGTTTTTATCCTAGAGATAATTGCTTGACTTACGCGATAAGAATATGACGAGGCAACAAGTGATAATATAAAAATCCACGTGAATCCAAATCTCGACTGACGAAAAGAAATTACCAATTCACGATGAAAATTTTTTTCTGTGGGGTTTCCAGGACATCATCATTAAAAACCTTATACCATGTTCAATATACACCTGACAATTCAAGAATATTCATCAAAATGGCAGCAACAACAAAAAACCTAGTACCTCGCAAGATTCATCATCAATTTTAGCAAATCAAAGCACGACTGACGTCATCGGTGACCATGGGCACAACCTGAAACGTCGTTTGTCATAAGTGTAACACATGCTTTTTATAGCGTTGTTTAACCAGTTCCGCCTGGTATGTTGAAGGTTTTTTGTTGTCAGAGTAAGAACTCCCAACTTACAATGCCGAAAGAATAAGGAGCTCAATACCTTTCGGAAAATGGCTGTGGGCGGAAGTAAAAAATAAAGTAAAGAGAAAGCCGCAGCGGCAGCACTGCATACAGTTGTCATTTCCGGCCCACGCAGCTGCGTTGCAATGAGGGAGGCCGAAGGCTGAATGAGTATTAATGGAACAGTGAACAAATATCACATGCAGTGGCCTGGCCCTGTTGTCGTGGTGTCTAACAATCAATTTGCTTGCAAGCGTTCGTGGCATTTACATAATATTCTCAACAGCAGGAAGTTTAGTGTGCTATGCGGTCCACAATGTATTTGTATCATCCGTAAATGCACCGTAACATTGCAGTCTCAACCAAACATTGTCTCATTTGTTCTGTCACTGGTGGAGACACAGAATTCCCAACTGCACAAAAGCAACAGCAGGGGTCAAAGCCGAGCCCGCATTTCGGCAGTCTGACGTCACAGCGGCGTAGCGCCATGGAGAACGGAGAACAGAGAGCGGCCAGTCGTGTCGACAAAAGGGCGTGCCGATGTGTTAGCCGGTCACGCGGGCCCGAGAGTCAGCCATTGAACTACCCGTGTTCTTGTCATCTTGAAGTCAGATATTGGTAACCGAAACAGTTAAGCGCGTGAACGCGACGGCATGGTGCTGCAGTGCACGCACCGTCGACAAATCACTAACGGATCATAGCACTGCTCGTCTGTCAGGTACGCCAGTAATCGACAGGGGAGCGCGACAAATGCCGCGTTTTTGGTGGCTGGTCTCCAAAATTGAAGCAGCAGAGACGAGTCATGATGGACGTTCAGGAATATTTCCTGCAGTGTTGGGTTACCAGCACCTACCCAAAACAGAAGGCGTTTCCCGTGACCATTTGGTCACGGTTAGCGAGAGCATGATCATCACGAATTCATCCATTTGGTCGAATTTTGCCAATAGCTTGATCTTTCCAGGCTTTCCAGGCTAGGTAAATTATTGGACAAAAAACGAGACGGTTGTTCAGACGATGTGATTTGCAGCTGTCTGTCGAACGTCACGTTAGTGATTTTCACCCTGTTGAACCCTCGGGAAGGAAGAGCGGTCCAGCGCCTTCACAACACCCATTTGCATTCCTCAAAGACGTCCGGCACCATTCTCCTGGGTTTTGCCGTAGTCTTCTCTGCACGTTGATAACACTTCTGTTACCATCTTGCTCGTCCTGGGCGCAAAAAGACATCTTGCTGACATAGCTCTTTCATCGAGGTAATAACAAATGGGATTTACGCAGCTACTTTAATTGAGGTGCACACGTTTGTCCATCTTGATAGATCAAGGTTTGATAGCATGATAACGTCAATGACCAGACGCAAGGAATTTCGCGGATACATTGCTGTCAGGTAATGTCAATCGGCTTCTTTTTAAATAGACCGGGAGAACCTTCTCGGTTGGTGCAAGTATCTATGCTGCAGATAGGTAAAACATACATACTCCTAAGATAAGACTGCCCGCTCTGATGTCTGCGTACCTCGTAGAACAGCCGTAAGTCATTTCTTTGCGATGTACTCTTTTACGAGCATGGCCACGTTTTATGAACACTGCTCATACAGCGGACCCTTCGTTGAACGATCGCCATGTTTGATATCAAAGGCTTTGGCAGCGTTGAGACATTGCCATTTTTGTGTTGATAAGGCTTGTAAGGTTGACGTCTGCTACAGTGCAAAACGTGGCCCAGAGTATTCCAGTCGATGAACAGTAAATATCGCTGACATCCAAGCGAACTAGTCGTAGAATGCCTGGGTTCTCCGTCCTGGCATCAACTCGGTGTCGGCAGGGTATCGGCACCGACAGGGAGTCTCGCCACTATATGTCACAGCCTGACGGCCGACCGGCCACTCCGGCGTCGGCAAGCAGTGTACACGTCAGGAGGTGGGCACGATCCGAGCCACGCGCCTGGGACGTCCGAGGCGCGCCGCTCACCTTGTCGAAGAGCGGCGAGTGCTTGTGGCCGTTGGCCGTGACCTCGGAGTCGGGCCTCAGCTCGTCGAAGTCGAAGAGTGAGTCGACGCCTGTGTGGAGCCGCGAGTCACGGCGACGCTGCTCGCGCTTCAGGGCTGAGTCGTATATGTCCTGCATGCTAGCGCGGCAGATGCACGACTCTGGCTGTCATCGGCTCCGCTTCGCGTGCCCGCGGTCACCGGCACTGACTGGGAGGTCGGACTCTGCCAGGACGGCTGGGGGTGGCTCGCGTGGTCTGGCCGGTCACGGCCGGCCGCCCTGCACCGGCACAAGAGCTCGCGCTGGCGCCGGCTCCGCAGCTCACACCACTCGTGCCAGAGGGGGTAACACTGTGCCAGACGGGGTGACGCTATTACCGAGCAGGGTCACGCGGTGGCCGGCAGGGTCGCGCGGTGAGCGGCGCGGTCACGTCGGGTCAGGGGTCACGCGGTGGTCGGCGGGGCCGCCGGTCGCCGGCGGGGTCGCGCGGTGACCGGCGGGGCTCCGGCCGGTACTGACGGCTGGCCGTCGCGCGCCGTCGCCCATCGATCGCCGGTGGCCAAGTAACGTGGTGACCCATCGATTCCGTCGGCGTCCGCCGCGCCGAGCCGACGGGCCCCAATCCGAGTGACGTTCGCTATCTGCGACGACAGCGTGTGGAGGCGGGTGACACGCGATGCCAGCATGCTAGAACAGAGCAACGACTGTCGAGCCCGCGACATCTGACGCGTGGGAGGCCACGCAAAGATTTAGTTTTGGTTACTCGTCACGCTTAGCCCTATTTTTCAGGCGGCTGAGTCGGTTCGGCGCTCTCCTGGTTTCGTTTTGCCATCTCAGTGCCAACCCAGCTCAGCGGGAACTCTGGAATTATGTGGCTTTGCTTATCAATGTTAAGTATCCTGGCAATAGTTGGATACCCCATCTTGCTATAAGAAAAAAAGGTGTTCAGCTCATGGTTTTCCGGCATTCGGAGTTCTTATATTGAGTTAACGCTCCTCAATATATCAATTATTTAGCATTACAGCGTCGTTTAATCGGTACCTCATGGTATAGCCTACATCTCCAGCAGCGATTCCAATCTTGGGACAATGGTCGGTTTAGTAAGCGGGCGTTAGCACGCTACTTCACGCTAGGTAAATTATTGAGCCACGTGTGAATCACATAGGTCTTATCTTCAATCAATTTTGAAATAGCCATTTACCGTATGCATGGAAGATATCGGGTTAGCTAGGATGGTGTAGAGGATATTTTAGGGCATTACAATAGTTTATGTTTTAATGAGTCGACGTTTCCGTCGGTCGCGAAGTCGTGGGTTTTCATTGACAGATGTTAGTCTGTTACGTTGCTGCTTGGAAGCTTCATTTACAAAGGCTGTTGGTGGATAAGACTAATGACTGGCGAGAAAACGACAATACCATTTTGGACAGGGCGGCTCAGGTTGAGAGCCCAGCCATTTTGAAGCTTTTTTGTGATGAGAGGGCCACGGCACTCCAGCAGAGGGCACACATGCAGAGGCGGATACATCAGGCCTGTGGGCGGGACCAAATATCGAAGTATGTATTTGTTGTAACAACCGCTGGGACTTCGTGTAATTATATTTGCAGCCCGAAGATCTTTTGTCTGGTTGAGGCTTTCCATTGGTCATCTTAATGTTAATAACATTAAACCTTCGGACAAAGTGTAGGGCAACACTGCATCTGATCCTCCCTTCAGTCTCCTACGCCTATGATCTGACATGTGTTTTCCGCCGGATTATTGACGCCTGTATCTGCCGGCGCTCCAAGATTCTGTCAGGCGCGGTTACAAATTTCAATGTACCACGGGATGACAAACGCTATTTTGTGTTTGTAATGCATTGGGGAATGCCTGAATTTCGTATTTGTCCCATTATCAGGGTGCTTCGTTCCTACTAATTCAAAAATAGCTTGTACTGTTTTTCAGTTTTGGGCTTATCATCGTTGCCAAATCGAAATGCGTAGGAGCGTTAAGTACGTGCAAATCACAGATGTCGATGAAGCAAAATGTTAAATGTGTCGCATGGTTTGCAATCAATCAGTGCACAAGCAACGTTTTACGATGTTTCCGTCCACATGAGGAAGGTCCTTCCAACTCAAACCATTGACTAGACCTTGACCTTACCCGCCATAATCTGCCCAATAGATCCGAAACCTCGCCAGTACGAGGGGGCCACGCATAGATTGGAACCGCAGCTCGCCAAATACATAAAGGTCAGGCAGTTGCGAAGTTCGGGGCTTGCGAAGCAATTCACGCTCGTCAATTAATGTCGGGTTATACTCGATCCTCTCACTCTCCCTCTTTCTCTCTCTTTCTCTCTCTCTCTCTCTCTCTCTCTCTCTCTCTCTCTCTCTCTCTCTCTCTCTCTCTCTCTCTCTCTCTCTCTCTCTCTCTCTCTCTCTCTCTCTCTCTCTCTCTCTCTCTCCTCTCTCTCTCTCTCTCTCTCTCTCCTCTCTCTCTCTCTCTCTCTCTCTCTCTCTCTCTCTCTCTCTCTCTCTCTCTCTCTCTCTCTCTCTCTCTCTTCCTCCCTCTGCATAACTCCTGTACAAAGGAAAAAACGACAGAATGTAAGCCAACTAGCATCGGCACGCATCGTAGAGGCCCAGAAGATCCTTGCGCAGGACCTGATGACTTAGATGTGACAAAATGGTGGCATAACACACTGTCGTTACACAAACTATCTATACCGGAGTCTGAATGGGTCAACGTCTCGCCGGCCGCGTTCCTTCCGCTGCGCCGCACGCCCCTCCCCCTCCCTATCGCAGCGAGGTGAGGGGCGCACACAACTGCTGGGGTGTTACAATGTAGTCCCGCCTCCGTTCGGTCTAGCGACGTCAGCGTGGCGACAACACCGGCAATCGATGGGCGATCAGATAGTCGCCGTGCGTGTATACAACTTGCTGTTGCTAGGAGACCGCCCTGTTCAGCGCCGTAATGACAGGCTCTGCATGCCCGCGCCGTGGGCTGGTGACCAGCGGGCACCATCATTGCTACCGATGTTGTTTTTGCTGGACTGTCGGCCTCTTGTTGTGGCGGATTATCCGCCCCATGGTGCGGTGACATTGCCGGGTTGCGACGCGCGCCCCGGGGCTTATCTTATGCTTCGTACCGTGCTGAGTGCTTGGCCTATCTTATCTTAAATGGGTATAGAATTCCTAAATGTGTGTGCGATTGCAATGTAGATGACAGACAGTGCAATGGTTGACAAAGTTTCAGCGTCCCTAATCCAACGGTACCGTTACTGTAATTTTCACAAACTCTTCCCAGCCGATGTTCAAACAGCAATATTCTGAATGTATTGAAGAATATCTCTGGTTCGTCGGAGGGGGTGAGCATGGGTCTTGACCTTTAAAGGGAATATTCCGCATTTGAAGATATTAAAGTCAGTATTATATTTAATGAAAACGCTTACTTATAATTATTGGTATGCTTTCAAATGAAAGACTGCTCTAGACAATACAGTTTACCTCTTTAGTAAACATACCCCTCAATAAAACATTGTTTGATTGTGTCATCGTACGTTACATAACATTAATTGAGCGGATTGACAGCCCTTATGTCTGGAATTCGCGCTCACAAACACCAGCTATGAACCACTCGACAACTGTATTTTTGGCTTTGATCATCGCTGCACGGCTAATGGAGTGACAGGATTGGAATGGCATTGTTATGGCGCCGTTGTTGTGACGTCATGGACACCACGGTGATCTTAAAATAGTCTCCCTGAAATAGTCTGCACATCTTCACAAGCGTGTAACTCAGGAGGTAGAGCGGCTTAGGCCTTGGAAGGGCAGGGCTATGAACTGCACCGAATGATCTTCAGGATGGCTGTTTCAGTTAAAAGCCCCATACAAATGTGGAGCACCCCGTTTAGCATGTGGCCTAGCGGGCCTGACAGAGCAGGCGTGTTCTTGAAGAGGTGAGATCTGCAGCTACCATCTTTGCCCCGGTAACACCGGAACAATGCCACGATTTGTGTATTCCCATAAAAACATGCCGCAAGGAAAAATCTGAAATGAATGCGTACCACACACATTGGTACTTGTGTACATATGCTCGTGTAATTTATACAGGTCCTCGGCGCTTCAAGCCCGTCGCAGCCTAAACAATAATATACAAATATGCACCACTGACCACCTGAGGCAGCTGCTGTCCGACCACATGTCTTGCCCATCATCGATCAAAGAAATTTGACGCATCGAATCATCCCTTTTGAGTTAAGGGCATCAAAAGTGTGCCATACCATATCAATGCTCCTTATTTTGGTTGGGGTTTTACCCTTTGCACTAGTAATTGCTCATATTTTGGGCTTAGCACGGGGCCAATGGAAGGTGAGTTAAAGTTGGGGTAGTTTCATATCGCAGCTTTCGAGTCGCTAGTGTTGCTGCTGAAGACATAACCGTGACAATACTTATGCGGTTCTAAATTGTCCTGGGAAGGCCAATGGAATTTTTGGAATAAGTAGTTTTCACCGACTTTTAAAAGCAATGTACGACGTCTGGCTGTCGCCAAGGCACCTAAAAATGATTCTCCACACCACAAGCATGCAAACGGCAACGTCTATCGAAGCTACCACACCGCCACCTATCGAAGCTACCACACCGCCACCCTAGTGTCAATAATCGGTAAGCGGGCCAGGCATTATTGCCGCACAACTAACTAGTTGCTTGTCACACACCTCGCTCGCCTTTCTCCTTGTATTCTGCTCATGACCAGTACGTTCATTACCTCCAAGCTTCCTCCGCCCCTCGCTGTTCTCTCTGCTCTCTGCCACGCTGTGGTCTCGCTTCGTCTCACAGGTGGCGCCAGCGATCACGCATCAACACCACCTACTCAACACTCAGACCGTGTCAAGCGCCACCTATGATTAGAACTAGTGTTTCATTAAAAAGACAACAGGCAACAGAGTCGAACGAGATAGAACCCAGGGCAGGCAGGGTAATGATCCTCTTGGCTTAGGAGGGGGTGGGGCAGCCCCTTGGCCCCACTGGCCACACCCCTGACACAGGGCGGGTGTCAAATGTATGGGACCGCCGACAAATTACAGTATGCGCTTTTGGCCATTTTCTAATTTTTCTTCCTTGGTGACAAGTCTGTTACTCTATGGCCCCCTTCCACGTGATCAGGGGGGGGGGGGCGTACAAAAAATTGCATGCTGGTTGCCACGGGAGGAAGCCAACAGTGTATGTCTTGAAGTTTTTCTGAATATTCGCATGGTTTGTAATGCTTTCTGGGCGTAGTATTATGCCGTCCAATTCGCTACGCTTTGGCCGCTCTATCAACACCCTTGCCCTCCTCCATGCGTAATTGCGAACAGTTGAAATTTTGGGAGGGCCAAATTCATCTAAGCCAAAAGCAGCCAATGTGAGCAATCTTACCTTGCGGGAAAATGCGAAGCATTTGCAGGAAATGAATGCCGCTTTGACCAATCATTGGACGGGCTCTGACTTTCTGTAAGCTTGATTCATCGAAGGTTTTGATGCTTAAATCGCAGTCATCTGTATTCATGCTTCCCGCACCAAACACATCTGGTGATGCTAAACGCCAAACACAGTTTTGGAAGGAAAAATGTATTTAGAAGGATGCCATGCTTTCAAAGCGATGCTGATGACTAGCAGTATGTGAACGACCACTTCTCGCTGATCTGGAGAGGTAATGCAACACGAATACTTCAGGACACAACTACGCCAATCACCCGGGTGAGAGTGCCGCCGAGGCGGTCGGTCAGTGCGCTACCTCGCGCTCGCCATCACATGGTATGAAGAGGCCCGCGAACTTCTCGGTCGGGCACCTTTCAACAGACAACAAGGGTGCAAAAATACAGCGAAGGCTCTAGTGAAGGACACTACCGCTAACCATATTGCTAGATCTCGAACTCACTTCCCTGCATTCCCAAGGCTGGCTCGGGTTGAGGTGGGACCATACAAAACGGCGCTCACAACCCTCGGAACTCACACAGCAACGGTCTCCGAGGGCGGGCAGGTGAGGTATCCGACCTTCGCTTCGACACTCCAACTTACAACGCCTCTGTGCCTCGCTGAACTATTGAGATAGCTTGCGCAAACACTCATGGAAATAAACCTGACTGGCATCACCCATTACGGGCAATGGTTGCAGAGACAATCAATAAAATCCTGAACCTTTATGCATCATATGGTACGACGGTAAGGCGTGTGTGGCATATGCCTGTTCCAAAACACGGCACAGACTGCAGGGAAAACGCATGCATGGAATGGGGAAATGGTGTGCTTCGATGAACGCGTCAAAAATTTTTTCCGTCGGTAAATAAGGTTACGTTAGGACTCTTTTTCAATTCGGTTTCGACGTCCGATAATTCTCCATTTCCGTACACCAATCGTCAATCTTCGAATGCTCTGCTCTGTGACGCGAGACCGTCTTAAAAACCTCAAAACTGACTGCAGATAACATCTTTGTAGTGATAAACACGTTTTGCACGATAACCAAAGTGAAATAGTACGCACAGCGAGCATTGAACACAACCACCACCACACGGCGCGTCCACCGAGCGCAGAAGTCGCCCAACGCTTCGAAGGCTGCAGCGCCGGTGTTTACCCGATCGCCATCACGCACACGGGAACCGGCGGAAACACGCAGTAAGGCCTGGGTGCAAAATACACATAAACAAGGTATCACAATCAGCAATCGTAAGACTAGGTATAATATCAAGGTGTAATATATTGATACAGTGAGAGCCGATAGGTGGCGGGGCCGCGCTCGCCGCGCCCTCTGTCCTGTCGGCCGTCCGCGTGCCGCCCTCTACCGGAGACGCACAACCCAAGCACCTGTCCATCACGCGTCAACGCTGCGTCACCCCGGCCCCCGCCCAGCCAGCTTTGTACTTCAGCTTAGGACAGCGCCGGCCGACGGTGCGATCAGCCAGCAGCGTCGTCCGCGGGGGCGCCTCACGCCCCGTCCCCCATACCTAGCGCGCGCCGCCGAGATGGGGCCGAGGCGCACACACAACATCCCAGCACTCCAGCCGCGCCCCCGAATCCCCCCCCCCCCCCTCACACACACTGGCACGGGCTGCGCTGCCAGCAGTCTGCTGGGTTTCTTGGACGCTAGTTACCAACTACAGGGGTCCATTGTGAACGCTGATGAGCCGAGTGGTCTGGGGATGGGTCGATGGGGCGTGGGCATGACCCACATCTCTGTCAATTTCCGATGAGTGAGCGCGGTTGGTATTCAAGGCAGCAGCGTCATTGTGATTGACGCGCTGAAGTCCTCGTGACATCTCCTTGCACGCCATCTTTACCCGTTTCACTTCACAACTACGGCCTCAATTGCTGTGAGATCTCTATTTTAACCCCGTTTTGATCATGACAACGAGTCTGAATCTGTGATACGCCATAACCTCACCGCTGCGCTCTCCCGTTATGGCGCGGTGTGTCTGCAACTTGACAAATCTAAGAAATTACTTTGAACTGCGTGATATTACGGCGTTTTACATCGTGCTTCCTCACACGTCATCAATCATTCCCAGAAGCATCAAATGAATGTCTGATCCATACCGTTGTCCCATGTACGGGTTCAAAACGTTGTGCATAAGACAGCGTTGTGAGATGCCTAGGACAGCTGCTACGCGTGGTAACTGCCGAACTAGCATTCGGTAGGTCACGGCCCCAAAGATCCCCAGTTCCCAAAGACAATGTGATGTCTCAGTGACACGAAAAGTGAGATCATGGTGCCACCCACCGTTGCTATACTACCTGGACCTCCTATAGACGGCATCTCGTCAGTCGCCTCTAAAAGGTCCCGATTTTTTGTTGACCTATTGTTGACCTAGGAATATGCATTGATGCAAATGAGTTGCATGTGATCCTTGGAAATCCACAAATGACCACTTCGGGACCTACACAGACAATATTATTATCAAGTGACGTCAAGACTATCAAGCGATAGCTCAGGCCGCCCAGTAGACTGCATCTCATGTGTGGCTCGAGGAACCAGAAGTCCTTCAGCAACGCACGGTCAGTAAAGGAAAGGAAAGTATGGTCGAAGCGGCGTCAAGCGCCGGCGTCTGCCCACGAGCAGGCCATGTGGCGATGCGTGGGCCACGTGGACATCAGACGCTCTCCTCGATGGCACGTGGCGGCACGTTCTGCCTTTGAGCGATCACCGTCAGCGTCGTGACCAGGTGATCCAGCTTCTTGTCCATCATCAGCAACTGCAGCGAGGAGAGCAAGTATAAGCTTACCCTTATGATCTTGTGTCATCCCATTCAGCAGAGGTAGATTCGCTGTGAGCATTGGCCAAAGAACAACAGGTTCCAGTTACGTTATTTCTATACGCAACACTTCTAGTCACTCATCTATGACATTGTGGACCCATTTCAGCATTCAAAAACATTGGAGCTCGCGCCCGTGCCGCACGAATATATGCAAGACACCGCGTAAAGAAGCAAGCAAACTTTTGCGCAACGCGTCACATACTGGTCGCCGGAAAGCAGCACAAGCTCATGAAAACGACCGCTGGGTCAGTAAAGGAAAGCTTCACGGCTGCGTCCGATGCACAACCTTGCTACGCAACGCCAGTTGTTACGGAGCGACAAGGTTTCCTTCGGGCTGCTGCAATATCGCATGGACCTGAAGAGCTGTGTCCATTCTATATCAGTGTGGTCCTCAAATCACTGTCCTTTCCCCAGTGTTTGCGTCAATGTTTGCCGTAGATATGCAGTGGCCATATCAGTGAGGGCATAGACTATAAAGTTGTGGGCATCAAATGCGTCAAAATCGGGGCTTTGACCGGATATTGTGCGGGCTGTCCGGTTTGTAATGTTGCACTTGTCGTGTCATTGTACCACTGCATTTTAAAACGCTAGTGTAAATAAACCACCGATGAAACCCGAACGAGTGTTGAGCGCCAGCCACGTTAATATCGCGGTTGGGATCGGAGATGCCATTTGCGTTGGGTTACTCAGGTCGGAGGCAAAATGACTGCGCAAGTCAGTGAGAGAGTCCACGATTTTGCACCGAAGTGACAGCCAGAACCCAGCCACCGCTGCTTTGCAACGCATAACGGCCCGGCCAGAAGGCTGTACAGTGAGGTCCGGAAGGCGACATGGCCAGTATCCGTGCTTTGATTTGTTTTTTGAGGGAGCTAAGCTTTCTGCCGTTCTCCGAAGGCCTACTGTTGCGACGCGTGGTTGTGCACATCCAGTAAAAATGGCACGCCATTTACACAGAGGTGCTGATGCCACATTTACTTGCCAGTTTCGCATGACAAGAATTTCGCAGATGCCCGTGACCAAAGTGAGTCATTTTCAGTAAACGGCAGACCTTCGGGCCATAACAATCTACAGTGACATCGTCCTGTAGGGAAACAGCGGGCCACACACGCGGGGTTGACCTACATCAAAACACCGCACCCCGCAGGGACTGCCATTACTTGGTCAATACCACAACGGCACTGTGCCGGTGTGGCGCCGCGGGGCGCGTGACCCGACCTCAGCGGCGAGCGGGGCAGGAGCAGGCCTGCTCACCTGCTGTTCGACTCGGTATATCCGGGCGCCGATGGTCATGGGTTTGAGGCCGCCGTTGCGGTCCAGGCTGGAGATGTAGCTGCCGGGCTTGCCCAGGGTCTGGTCCAGCCGCCGCTGCAGCTCCTGGAAGTGGAGCGGAGCTGTGCACAAGCTGGCCGGTGCGCCGGGGAGGCGGCGTACATGGTGCACAGAGCTGGAGACGGCGGCCGACGGAGACAGGACGCAGAGCCAGCGGAGGTGACAGAGGCGGCGTACATGGTGCACAGCGCTGGAGACGGCGGCCGACGGAGACAGGACGCAGAGCCAGCGGAGGTGACGGAGGCGGCGTACATGGTGCACAGAGCTGGAGACGGCGGCCAGCGGAGACAGGACGCAGAGCCAGTGGAGGTGACAGAGGCGGCGCCTAGAGCCAGGGAAGGCGGTGGAAACAGTACACAGAACTACGAGTGGCGATCGAGACGGTGCGCAGAGCCAGCCGATGCGGCAGAGGCGACGCACAGAGTCAGGGAAGGCGGTGAAAACAGTACACAGAACCACGAGTGGCGATCGAGACGGTGCGCAGAGCCAGCGGAGGTGACGGAGGCGGCGCATAGAGCCAGGGAAGGCGGTGAAAACAGTACACAGAACCACGAGTGGCGGTTGAGACGGTGCGCAGAGCGAGCGGAGGTGACGGAGGCGGCGCATAGAGCCAGGGAAGGCGGTGGAAATAGTATACAGAACCACGAGTGGCGATCGAGACGGTGCGCAGAGCCAGCGGAGGTGACGGAGGCGGCGCATAGAGCCAGGGAAGGCGGTGAAAACAGTACCCAGAACTACGAGTGGCGATCGAGACGGTGCGCAGAGCCAGCCGATGCGGCAGAGGCGACGCACGAAGCTAGCGGAGACGGCAGGGATGGCGCACAGAGCCAGAGACGGAGATCGAGACGGTGCACAGAGTCGGAGACGGTGGTGGAGACGGTGCACAGAGCCAGAGACGGTGTTGGAGACGGTGCACAGAGCCAGAAACGGTGGTGGAGACAATGCGCAGGGCCAAATACGGCGCTGGAGACGGCGCACAGAGCTAGAGACGGCGGTCGAGATGGCGCACAGAGCCAGAGACGGCGGTCGAGATGGCGCACAGAGCCAGAGACGGCGGTCGAGATGGCGCACAGAGCCAGAGACGGCGATGAAGACGGTGCACAGAGCCAGAGGAAGTGGGAAAATTGGAGGTTCCCCGTGAATGCACCAAGTGGGGTGTCCACACTGAAATATTATCGCAGCTGGTGCACCAAATATTCACCCGAAACTTGATTTGACGTGGATTGTCACGCATATTATATGGAACAGACGTTTAGGAATTTTAAATGGGTTCTCGTAAGTCTTTGAAATGGAGAATTACACACATGTTCCTTCTGTGTCATCTTTACTGCCTTGACTGAACAAGAGGGTTTTGACGGGACATTGTTTTTCTTGGTTACCACATTTTGCAGTTTGCGACATCCATTCGGACCACGTCAATGCTAAAATGCTAACACGCTATTGCTAAAGTCTCCAATGGTCTCCAATGCAACCCGGCCCCAGTACAGTGGACCCACGCCGCAGTGTTTTGGGATGGCAGTCCACCGGAAAGTCGAAACAAAAGCAGCACGCGATGTCAGCACAAGCCGCTTTCACAAACAATTGCACAATACAGCAATGTCTTACAACATGTCATAAAGTATGGACCTGCTTGTCGACGCGACGTGACGACAACGTAAAAAATTAATGCTGGCTTGCGGCTAGCCGGCCGGTTGCCAACCGATCGGGCAGCTGTACAGGACAGCTAGCCGATCCGGCTAGTGGACACGCAACGGCGATGGCCTCCTCTAAAACGCGTGCTCAGTGATTCGCACCTTCGATTTGGAACGTGCAGATTTTCTTTGCTAACCGGTCGCCACGTTTAGAGATTTTACATGCAATTAAGTGAAGCTAAGATTTCCATATTCTGGATCAAACATCACCACCTAAATTAGACACATCTGACGCCTGAAACGATCGTGTTAGCTTCTTGCTGGTTTATTCGTACATTCTAGCACATATTAATTAGACTTAAGCAATCAGCCCATCTTACAGAATATAGAATCAGTCAGTTGACAGTAAGCCCGTTATCGGACTGCAGCTAAAGCCGGATTCTGGAAGAGCTTTGTGTAATGCCGAACCGCAACAGCTAAATAAGCTCCTTTCTACTGCACTGCCAGACCTTAGAAAATCTTGAGACATAAGCACCTTTGAATTGCGATGCATCGGCATAAAAGCCGGAAACGAGACGGCTTTGCCTGACCTTTTCGCTGCTACGGCATGCCAAAATAGGATGTGCCGGTCTGATGGGGCTGTTTTTAGCCCATGAGTGCACGCAGCGCATATAAGAGCGCGCAAGTGAGGAGTTCAGCTTTACAAAAGCAGGCCCGCTCACAAAATTGGCTATCCGGCTGGATCAGAGCCGGGCCGGCCATTCGCAGCTAATTTCGCAACAATGAACATTTAGAAAACTGTTGTATGCACCTTGTGCATTTTGAGTTCTTATGCTGAAAAAGTTGACCTTCAATATTAGTTGGTGCTGCTGATTTATAGCTCGATGAACGCGACCATGAGCATAGCTAGAAATGACAAGTAAATACATAATGCAAACAAACGATTGCTTGATATCTTCATTTAACCAATACATCCTGGCATACTGAAGCGCCGTATTTTTCAGGATACGAACTAACGGTGCCGATTGCAAACAAGAAACCGAAGATCTTCCTTGCTTCCATGAACCACACCTCGCATACCACAGCAGGCACAACGATGATCGATGGAGAACACTCCCTTCTTACTACACCTGCTGGTTAGTCCTGATCCATTCCCACCCATCCGATGCGAGGCACGCCACATCGCAGGCCGTACCTTGATCCGCACCATCATGTTGAGGTGGCCCTGACTGTATTGCTCGATGACGTCCCGCACATCGTACGGCTTTCGCGCCTGCTGAAACTTGCGGCGCGCCACGAAGTACTTGATCTTCCTGATGGCCCTGATTGCGTTCTTGTGCGCGTCTGTGAGGCTGCAACGGACGCTGGAGTCAGGCTCGACGACGCTGGTCTGACTTCTCCGACCATAGGCATGGGCTGACTCGGTGCTTGCAAGATCCGGCTGAAGTATTGTGTCAAGCTCAGTAGATTATGTACACATGTTGGCAATTTATAACGTTGCAGGGTTAAGGAGGAACAGGGCAGACACTTCAGGTTAGCGGTCCGCACCCTGCATTTCGATAAGCGGGCCAGTGTCTGCCGCTCAATTTACATGCCATTAAGGTGTGTCGACGAAATGTTTTAGTTTCTGATACAAAAATCCCAGCGCGGATGATTCCAAAAATACGATTATTCTCGAAATACTAGCAAGACACTATGAAAACGCAAGGCGCCTGCCGTTTGAAGGGCCAGCTATGTGTCAAACAACGGCACCTACGGGGTCAGCTATAGTTTCCAGTGAGGATGAGGCCCCTGATATATGCAGGAATGTACTCAATCAAAAGGAATGTTCGCAAACATCAATGTCAGTATCGTCGGGCTCTGGTGTTATGTCGCAGTTCCGACTGCTTCCATCGACCACCCAACAATGTCATCTATCACGGAACCTGGTGTTCCCCAAAATGACCGATGCAAATGGACATTTATAGGTATATTGTAAATAAGCAACGCAACATACAAAGGTGTCATACTTATCCAAGACTACATCCAAACTGTGACCCAGGCACGTTTTTGTGTCCATAGAGTTTCCGTTGTTCCGAACGTTGAGGCTCAAAAAGAGACGCGTCACTGGCAAAAACACATGCCGTCTTTTGCGTAGTTGTATAGTATATAAAGGCATGCATTTCATTATCATGAGGTAGCCATTAAATCAGCTCAATATTCTCGTTGTATATTTAGCCATTGGGGACAATGCGTCACGTAATCTCGGAACAGAAGTCTGAGGTGAGCTTATCGAGGACGTCGCACCATTACATTGTCTCTTTCGCCGTGTCATTACAATGCCCCTGCTATCACATCACTACACTGTCTCTTTCGTCACATCATTTCACTGTCTGCTCACTACTCCACTGGACTCGCAGACTTAATCTGACTAGCCTCGACATCCTCCCTCAGTTCTCGTAAATCAGGCTAGCACTCAGTTTCACGTCGTACAGGGCTACTACAGGCATTCGTCTTCGTTTTCGGCGAGACAGTGTCATTGGGTCTGAGCCTATGACGTCCTAAGGCCGCAGCGTCACCGGGCCGCGGCGCCCTGGTGGGGCGTAATCGTCCTGAGGCCGCAGCGTCACCAGGCCCCGGCGCCCTGGTGGGGCATGGCCGCCCGCAGCTTTTGTTCGAGCGTGGCTCTACAAACACGCCAAGCGAGCGAGGCAATCACACTCGTGTCTGAGTGAGCTGGAGAGCGCTGACTGGCCGTATGCCTACGTCAGTGGTCCTGGGACAAGGGATTTCAGAAACATTATGGCTTCGCCATCGACACCTGGGGTGGGATAATCCCTCCAGATGAGTTCCGTCTGCAGCCAGTGAATCCAGCCAGCGAGAATGAGCAAAGTGTAGCCGAAGAGAAATCACCCTCTGAACACCACTGAAAAATGTTCGGCGAAATGGGAGGAACGAACTGAAAATTTCGCCAGCTATGCCAGCCGTGGAGCCAGTTTCAACTGCAACTTTTCATTCGTGGTCGCTGGTGCACATTTCAACCGTGTCCGAGCGGCATGCTCAATTGTATTGGTTGGTAAATTCCCAGGAAACACATCAAGAAACGCACGTAACAACTCCGAAATCAAGAACAGTGCAAACAAAATAGGAAGCAAAAGATCTGCAGCTGCCAATTGAAGGTCTGCGAGCATATCATAGTTGATTTTGATCACATGACACTGACAGCATGGTTTGAAAAGCTTTTTAACATTGTCCGACGCACATGTTACACATCTCGCATCGCCGCTGTCCCCAAGGGAGCCGAGTTCCAATCACTGACGTGGAATTTCTGTCAGGTCGGCGCCGGCATCGCACGGGGTTCCTGGGCCAAGTACATCGCGACAAACGGAGGGGGGCGGGGGGAGTGACAGACGTACGAAAGGTGAGGTGAGGCGCTTGTGCGCAACTGCCTAAAATGTGCCGCATTCAGCGACGCCTGCAGCTTCTGATACGTCCGAATCGTCTTCAGAGTGGCCTGATACGTATGGATCTCAGGAGTCTTCCTTCGAGTCATCCATCACCTCAGCGGATGTGCTGATGACGAGTGAAGCCCCGTCGTCCGATGTTAACGTGGAATATCTGGCCTTCGTATACGTGCTTCGCGTGCTTCTGCCAGTGGATAGGTGTGGCTTATCCCACGGGGTACGCGCAGCAGCGATAATTACTCTTAGAATTTACACTAAGCTCATGAGTCATTCCAGTTCCAAGATGATGGAAGATGATGTCGAGCATGGATTGCTCGGGACGACGTTCGGAACGGACCGCAAGCGCTCATCTAGATGCAATAAAACGAAAGCACTTGGGCCAAGACAAGTGGGAAGCGTATCGTCGTTCTTTCTGGGACTAAGTGCGCATGCGCTGCTCGTTTTACGCCCCGGTCAGGAAAAGACAAACCCGTACTTACATCTGGATCTAGAGTTGCACCCAGCTGCTTGTGTGTTTTGCGCGGATATTTCCGTGCTCGGATGCGATGGAGCAAGAGTGAACAGAGGTAACGAAGACCATATCTCATCTCTTCGAGCTGTGACAGAGGCGACTGGTCCACTGGTCCGAGTCAGTTGCATGCCAACGACCTCAATCTCCGAGAGTTATTCGTGCAGTCGGACGGCGTAGCTACGGACCCTAAGTGGCTCTCGCGCATAACCGAGAAGTCTGTGTCCGAATCGGTCGAGCTTCTGCCGGCTGTCAACTTTCATACAGTTTTAGGGAACGTTAGCCGGATTTCCCTCTGGGGTCTACACCGGCCTGAGCAAGGACCAGAAATATCTCCACAGACAGGCACAGTCTCCGCAAATCAGTGGCACGAAGATCAGCCAGCTGTACCGTGCCAAATGGCTGACGCTGGTGCGGGTCATCGCGCCTCTGTGCATCCTCTGACCAGGGCCAGATGACCTGATAAAGCCAGTTAAACTCCTTGTCAAGCACTAAGCACCTCTATGGTTCTGCACCAAACAACAATCGAAATGTCTGTCTGACTCAGTCAATATCGAGGAAGCATTCAACTGCTGAAGCGTTTGCGCCCCGAGTTGCCGATGATGGTGGTGCAGGTGATGCAGCGAAACAGGTGTTGACGTCGTCGCACTTTTGGCGATGCTGGCATACAAAGACTTCCAAAAGCGAAGCAATGCTGCCCATTACATCGCGGAATATCACGAACATCAGTAGCACCAGGCCGTCATAGTGACAACAGTGCGAGGTTCGTCCTTCCTCCCTTCTAACAATGAACACACAGGATACCAGCCACGTGGAACTCACAGACTGGATTTGTGAGGTGGTAAATAAACCACAAATGACGATAAAACTCTGAAACGAAATGGAGAGGTTGGCTGGTACAGCTCTGGTACACCTCTACAGAAGCTACCCATTGCCATGCAAGGGATAGACATGGTGGCGCTGCTCGCCACCAAGGCAGCGTCGAAAGCTATCGAGGAGAAGGCTGGGCGCAGCCACAGTGTGCGAGAGCACCTCGCTGCGCTCACGGTAGTCCATAGCAAACAGAGCCTCAAAGTTGCCTGAAAGCGCGGGAGCCTTAAAGGGCATGCTCCACATTTGAAGATACATATTGAAAGAGATTGGAACAAGCATCAGATATCATCAAATAAGGTCGTTTATAACTAGTGGTATAGCTTTAAGTGGACGAGACTGCTCTAGAAAACACAGTTTCTCTTTTTAGTAAATATGTTTGTCTATACGTCATTCTTTGATTGCAACAACGTACCTTGCACAACATTGATTGAGAGCCAGTTGACTGCCGCTCTGTCTGGAAATCGTGCGAACGAACGCCAGATGTGAATGACTCGATAAGTGTATTCTTATTGACCTTGATCGCTGCATGTATAATGACAGGATTTGAATGACGCTATGATGGCGCCATTGAGGCCAGGGTAACCTTGAAATGGCCTGCACCAAATAGTCTGCACATCTTTGCGGGCGAGAAGTCCAGAAACTACAGGATTTTTTTTGATGTTAAGAACGGCAGACCTGAGAACGCACCGAATTGTTTTGAAAATGGCTTTTTCAGTTCAAAACCCCATGCGAATGTGGTACACTAACTTTTGGCATACGTGCGACACTCACGAGCTCGCCTTGCTACTGGGCATGTACTGAATGGGAACAATGGTCTTTCGAAACACAGGTCAGTTTACATCTGCTTTTGTTAGTGTCATTGGCAGCGGTAATGCCGACGTCAATAGTGTAGCATGTATCGCAGCGATGGAAATACGTATCTCTCATCTATTCTACTAACACTCTGAGCAGAAGTGCACTTTAAGCCATAACACCTGCAGGGTTTTGGGAAATGCGCATAAGAACATCTCCATGGAATCGGAAATCGACAGAGGTGTAAATGCGACGCGCCTTCCTGGCCATGTTGGCTGCCATACCAAGAACATTAGCTGTTGTATAAACCGCTGTGGAATGCACAGTGAAGGCAGTAATAATTATGACTGACATAAGTGACCACCTTGCAATCCTGGGTTAGACAAAATTTTAACGCCTTGCCGTTCGATAAAACCTGATAGAATATGATTAATCATAGGGGCAAATTTCAGTTCTACTCGAATTCCAACAACAGTCGTGCAACCATGGTCGTTCCGTGGTCGCCAGAGTGTGGGCCTCCTAGGATAGAATCAAAGCCCTAGCACCACAGAATACAGGCTTATCGGAGACCTGTGGCGGCAGCGCAAATGAACACACAAATAGTCTTTTGAAAAGTGCATGTTGCAATTATGTAATATATGTGATACGCACGCATGCACGCATGGTGCACACGCACATACATGCGTACGCGCGTATTTACCTACGTTTACATTGACACGTGGGCGTATTGATGCATAGGCTCATTTGGTTATTCTTGGGTGCACGGAGTGTCTTTTTTGCCTCCTCTGTTCCTGAATATGTACTTCATGTTTGGGATATATGCAGACAGTGCGTCCACTGCGCGCAACGTCACCCTCCCGAGGGAATGAAATATATAAGGACGACGGCGGCCCGATCAGTTAATTGGCTTGCGTTGTGTGGCCCGCAAAACAAGAACATCATATCTATGAAACCACCATCGAATGACTGGAAAGGCTGCAGCACATGTGCACAGTATAGCTCAGCACCTTGCAGATTCAGATACAGTGCAGACAGGTCAAATATTCATGGTGGCTGCTTTTTTATTCAATATTCACGGAGTGCCTGAACCAATTGCCGCTCAGAGATTTCCCTGCGGAACACATCGGCACGTGCCCGGACCTGCCGTCTGTCAGTCATTCTTCACTCGCGCCCATTTATGGTTCTAATTATCGGCCAATAAAGTTGGCCCATTAATAGTCATACCACGGCCCATGTAATTTTCCGCTCGACTGTCAGATAATGGTACCAGCAGCGCGCTGTGGTGGCCGCCAGGTCGACAGGGCTGCGCCGACTCACGCAGGCAGACAGGTCACTCAGGGTGACACGCAGTCGATCCAGACCAGGGGCGGGCGACCCAGACCGGCGGAGAGCCGTTTAAGACCAGGGACAGGCAGCCCTGACTGGGGGACAGCCGACCTAGACCGGCGGACAGCTGTTCAAGACCAGGGACAGGTGACCCAGACCGGGGGACAGCCGACCCAGACCGGGGGACAGGCGACCCAGACCGGGGGACAGCCGACCCAGACCGGCGGACAGCTGTTCAAGACCAGGGACAGGCGACCCTGGCCGGGGGACAGGCGACCCAGACCGGGGGACAGCCGACCCAGACCAGGGGATACCTGACCGCGCAGAGGGACAGCGACCCAGACCAGGGGACAGCCAACCCAGACCGGGGGACAGCCGACCCAAAACCAGGGACAGCCGACCCAGACAGGGGACAGCCGACCCAGCCCGTGAGACACCTGACCCAGTCAGGAAGTTAGGTTGGTAAACGGATGACACAGACAAGCAGATGGCTAACTCTGACCTACAGACCCAAACCGGGATGCGGCTGAAAAAGACACGAAGACGGGCACTAGAGAGATGACTAGCCCAGCGGAAGACAGCTCATTCTGGCAGCCAGTCAGCTGAGTAGACGGCTCAGGTCGTCAAACCAAAGACGAACTAATTTACATTGCTGTGGCGAGCGCCCGTCTGCTGAGATCACATGGTTTTAATTTTGGTGTAGTCGTGCTGAATTGACAAGCACCAGAACCATCGTAATTTCAACACCATCTGTGCGTAAGAATAACCGGGTCTCCCTCCGCTCTTGCAGTGCCAACGCAGCATTCTGCGTCCCAAATACCGCGACCGTACCGATCGCCCCGGGTTCACCAGCGAGGCAGTCGGCGGGGGGGGGGGGGGGCATTCTGACCTCCGGCACCACCTGTCAGTGACAGTGCCACTCGAGCCACCGGGCCTGACATGGCGCCAGATGAGGCGGCGTGGCGGGCCGACCGAGGACGCCGCTGCACCTCCCGGCCCGCTCGTGGCCGTCGCCCCCCTCCCGCCCTCCGACGAAGGTCAACAAAGCCGTCCGGCCCGGCAAACAGACCACAGTAAATATGTGCGCGTCGGGGTGAGAGGGGACGGAGGGATCATCCCAGCTGGGCGCGGACGGCCGAGCCCGCTAGATCGGCACTTTGTGACCTGGTGATGCTCAGGTCGAAGCGCATGGAGCTCCAGACGGGCGAAGTAGGGGAGGGGTCAGACATACACTAGCACCAATCATTTACATCATGCGCTGCAATTAATTGTTTTCAAATAAGTTGGATCGATACAATACATGCCATCTAAGAGCGTACTTGATCCCATACACAGGCTAGCAAAATAAGTTGATTCTGAAGCCTGCCAGCAGCTGCTTTCACAGAGATGACGCGGTTTTGTTTGGGTGTTTGTGCTGTTGATGAGGAACGAAGATTCTTCAGGTCGGTCGGGGTGCCGTAAAAATGGCCCGAATAGTCTGAGAACACTCCCCAGGGTGTAAACCTGACACATGATGGACTCGCCATCTACACCACGACCAACTCTGCACATTCGTGACCAGTGCCAAGTCGATGATGAACAGTTCCTGATCCATTGACACCACGCACTGCGACGTCCGGGACGCCTGCTGACTCCGGTACCACTCTCAGGTAACGGCACGCCTTGGGCCCTCCCGTGACGTCACGGCCCGGACAAACGCCCCCGTATGACGTCACGCCCAGCTGCGCTGCTGCGCTCGCGACTGACCTGGTGAGACCGGGCGGCTCCTCGATGTCGATGTCGACCTCGTCGGAGGCGACCTCGGTGTTGGAGCTGGTCTGACTTTGCAGCACGGGACTGCGACCCTCGCGCCGACACTTGCTGGGCGTGCCTGCCGACGGGTGTCGCGCCGTCACCACACCGCTCACCGGCACCGGCCCAGGCCGCCGGCAGCACGGCCAGTGACGCTAAGTGGGAGAGTCTCGCACTGTCCCGGCCGTCATGAGGATGAGAGCTGCTTCGGCCGAAGCTTCGCTGACGCGTGCGGTGGCGTTCTCTGCACGGCCCGCGCCTGCGCTCCGAATTGCGTGACAGAGGCTGTCCGAAGGGTCGCAACTTATGACCACTCCTTTTTGGGACACAGTTACGAACCAGAACCAGCTTCCGACCCCAGCGACCGTTACGCGTAGTTGTGTAGTGATCTAATTATCCATTATGCCCTCCTTCGTAAGCCGCTTTCAGGTTCGAAGACAGCCAGTGCTGTAAGCCAATGGTCTAGTTGAGGGTTTAACGTCGAAGACCCAAATTAATCTACTGCGGGAATGTCACATTTTCGCCTCGTCTTCGCGCAAGACGGCGCAGACCAACTTAACACTTCATCTCTCCTCCCAGGTGGATCTGAGTCTAAGGAGCCCAGTCTGAGTCCAAGTCTGAGTTCGCGTTTCGAGCCCACCAATGATGTATTACACCAGTGTTTAAATGCTTTAATCGTCTCATGAGCAGGGGTGTGTGTATGAGTCCGTGGAGAATAAGTCCGTGTCAGAGTACAAAGCATTGAGGACGAGTCCATCAGGTGTCTAAATACGCCACGGCAAAGCAACTACACAGAACAAAGTAGAGTTGCTCTCGCATTGCTAAAACAGATCACCAAGAATAAAATAGCGGTGCAGTATGGTGCAATATGGTGCAAGCCTGCGTCTAACTCGGCCTGAGCTAACCTGTTTTGCCTAATGTAACCTGTCTTGCCTGGCTGCATGGCGACGCAGCAGCGTAATAGCTTTTGAATAAGAAACTGATAGCATTGGCTTAAAAATACAATACTGATAGCCTCTACGCAGTTTAAGCGACCAATATTACCGTCTTGGACCATAAAATTCATACCATAACTTTGCCCGCACTAGTTCAATCTAACAACAACCAAGACACCGGCGAGAGACCAAACAAGAAATCGTCCGAGACGAGCCTGACCAGCCCAAACCCAAAACAACCCAAGAGGGACAGCAAAGCCCACTCAAGCTGTCTATACCACGTTGAAACCATCCTTTACACAGACGTTTTGCTGCTAAAATGTGCTCTTCAATCACGGTTGAGAACTGAATGCAAATGCCGACACCAAATGCCTTGCGCCGAGCCCAGAGTTCTAGAAAACTTGGGCCTGAATATGAGCCCGAGTCTTTGGAGATCCAGCCAGAGTCACAAATTTCCCATTCATTTTAAAAACGATTTGATTCACCTAAGTCTTAGTCTCAAAAAGTCATACGTCAGGACTTGAGTCCGAGCGTGCCACTGCTCAGATCTATGCCTGACTATTCCATCGGCATTTTTCCAGGGACAGCGGCGCGGGAAATCTGACCGCGCCTAATCACTGCTCATCACACGGCCGACCAACGCATGGTGGAACAACACCAGCTGAAGTTGACGGCAACGGGCGCCTTCAGCTCCTCCGCTCCAAACAGAAGCTCCGCCAGCCGTTCACGACAAACAAATTGGTCGTCGCTGCCTTTGTTTGATCATCGTTGGCTCTTCATCCGGACGTGGACAAAAGAGGACGTGGAGGACGTGTTTACACAGCCGTTATCGCAGACAAAGCTAGAGAACAGCGAAAGCGCCGCGCAAGCAGCTCGCGCCACGACTGAAAATCACCGCACAGCCAAATGGGGAGAATTCCTCACCAGCCCGGCACATGCAATTGGCTCGAAAAGACATTTTTTTTGTCCGCCACGCGCAGAAGAAATGTTTGCCCACGGAGTTGTTCCACATAAAAATCACTCAAAGGGAGGGAACTAACCAGTGCCACACTGGGGTCCACAAAGCTGCGAGGCAGGTTATGCGGTGTAAAGTGTGCGATGTTGATTCAACGCTTCACCCATCATGACCGCCGGAGCGGGTCGGTCATCCATGCCTGTCGATGAGCCTCACCCGCTTGCCGCGCCTCCTCGTCGTAGAAAACGACGTCGTTGTCGCTGTCGCGGCGCCCCGTCTCCAGGCAGCCCTTCTCGATGTTGGTGCGCGACTTCCTCCGCTTCAGCACGCTGGCTTTCTTAGCCACCTGCCGGCGGCGGAACCGGTAAGCTTCGCGGGCCGCTCTCTCGATCTCGAGACCCACTCTCTCGATCTCGAGACCCGCTCTCTCGGGTCGGCCGGACCGGGCCGAACGCTCGGCCCGGTCCGACCCTCCCAACCTGCGTCCGACGTCTGATAAACAATAGCATTCACCACCGAAACGGGGCGGCCATTCATCGGCTGTTTGAGCGAGCAGAACCCGGCAAACATGATGATTACATTGGGATGCCAGTTCTGACCTGAATGTACTCCGGCTGTCCCGCGAACAGCCCGCGGCGGCGCTCATCTGCACCGTCCGGAGCACAACGCAGCACAGACAATGCTACCAAGACGCGTTCAATGCAAGACCGAATTGCGCCGAGCGTCTCAAGAGCTCGTCCCGGGGCGGCCGCCCGGGTAGGCCGCTGCCGCTCCGTAACGGCCCCAGGGCGAGCTCGCCCGGTAGGCCGCTGCCGTTCCGTAACGGCCCCAGGGCGAGCTCGCCCGGTAGGCCGCTGCCGCTCCGTAACGGCCCCAGGGCGAGCTCGCCCGGTAGGCCGCTGCCGCTCCGTAACGGCCCCAGGGCGAGCTCGCCCGGTAGGCCGCTGCCGTTCCGTAACGGCCCCAGGGCGAGCTTGCCCGGTAGGCCGCTGCCGCTCCGTAACGGCCCCAGGGCGAGCTCGCCCGATAGGCCGCTGCCGCTCCGTAACGGCCCCAGGGCGAGCTCGCCCGGTAGGCCGCTGCCGCTCCGTAACGGCCCCAGGGCGAGCTCGCCCGGTAGGCCGCTGCCGCTCCGTAACGGCCCCAGGGCGAGCTTGCCCGGTAGGCCGCTGCCGTTCCGTAACGGCCCCAGGACGAACGCTCCCCCCACAACCGTATTGAGACCGTACGCAAATATACGGAGCAGTGCTGTTTACGCGGAGACGTCTACTCCGGCCGACAATACGAAGCTGAGGGCCCCATTGTGCCCGACTCGAAGCAGACGTCAGGCGCGCAGCAAAGGGAAGGACGGGCCGCCCCGACGCTGTCACACGGAACGGCTCGGAGAACTGAGCAGGAACACAGAGCGTCTCGGAGAGCTGGGTGGAAGCACAGAGCGGCTCGGAGGGCTGAGTGGAAGCACAGAGCGGCTCGGAGGGCAGAGCGGGGGCACAGAGCGGCTTGGAGAACTCAGCGGGACGCGAGCTGCCGCTGTGGACAATATCTCAAAGGCACAGCGTGGGCGGGAGGTCGCCGGCGCGGCAGACGTTTACTCGGTGGCAGCTCCCTTAGAACGGCGGAGCTGTCACCGGGGCGACTGCGTCGGTGGGCCCACACCAACCTCCGGACAAAAACCACGAGCAAACGCACGGCATTTCTGCTAGAGCTGTGCATGTGTTTAATGTTCAGGATATAGTGCAGTCTAGCTACATACCAGTTTTGAATCTAATCCGAATACCAATCTACATGTTCCAAAAGTGTTGGGGCTAATCCGGTACAGTCTATCAGAGCTAATTCAGCTATTTGCCCACACATCCATGAAGTGGGTTATATTTATTCTCCGATTGACGTAACGTTATTGTAGCACATACGAACACGTTTGCTTCTGGCATCACCGACTTAAGGCTTTTCAATTAGTCCCAATTAATTTTCTTTGGCTAAATTTTGGAACCAACCCATACCCAAGCAGTACTTTCTGTAGATTTCCTGAAGCGATCTATTCGGATCTCGAGTCCTTTCCAAATGCTCTGATCTATCCAGAACGTACAGCCTACGTGTCCGCATCTCGGCGGGCATAGCGGGTGGGCACGGGACACCGGGCAGCACTACCCGACCTCTACAGGTTCAGAGGCCGGTCGGCAGGGGGGGGGGGGGGGGGCCGGACAGTTGCTGCGAAGCGCAGGTGAGAAGCGAGCCCAGGTGCCAGCGCTGCCTGACACCTCATGGCGAGCTGTCTCCTGCAGGGCTGACGTGCGCTTCTTATTGGCATGATTTATGCCCTGGTGGAGACCGAGCTGTTATTCAAACATTTCCAGACGGTCCATGGCTGTTACACCAGCCTCCTTCTTGTACACGGCTACCAGAATTGGTGTATAGACGCGTCGCATGACAAATGCCCCCTTCTTTTGCAAAGAGCAACGATCGTGGGACGAGTCGGCCGCAAATCCTGATCGGCTAGGAAAATTGTTAGAGCCATGAAACATTCTATTTTTACGACGGAGTTGCACAGAACAGCAATTTTCATGAGGCTCTACGATGTCTTGGCATCCAGCTGCGTCTTGCACTGTTCGCCGCAACCTCTCCGTTCGTGGTGATTTATCGTGGCCCGGGTTCTCGGTGCACTCTGAGGTCACCGCACGTACGCGGTCGCTGTGCTGGTCCGCAGACCGCAATGCTGTGTTGCCGACGACGGAGGTGCCAGCGAGGCGAGTCGTTCGCTGTGCTGCCGACGACGGAGGCGCCACGTCGTACGTCCTACGTACGTCGTGGTACAACCTAGACATGAAAATGTGGGGTACATGGTACGCAAAGTCTCCCTAGGCAGGTGAGGCCAGGTTTTCGGCCGCGGCACATATCAAAGAGGCAGTCGATTATTATCACCCGGCAAAAAACGATGCCAGCGGCAGATATGCACACGCTGCTTTCATAACGGATATGAAACATCGTCATATCCGGCCTGCTCTCCAAACGCATCAGTATTCCCCACATGACCTTACTTCGCAACTTACACCGGTAAGGAGCGCCACGGCACCGTTACTTGGACGAGTACGTCGTGTTTTAAGCAGGTGTCCCGGGCCGTGCGGTCTCCCCAGTGCGCCGTCAATACCAGCCGCTCACGATATTTACATGCTGAATTATTCGGGGTCTTTCAGTGGACATTTGAGAAAATTGATCGTGACCTGCATACAAGCCAATCGGTCAGGACTGGACGCCATGGTGGTCTGGTGGGGAGGAAAGCAGCGCTGCGGCAAGGCGCAGCCCTCTCGATCAAATAATGCGGGCCGACGGGCCTTCAGGCAACATGTAAAGCGCTCATGGCATATGTCAATTACCCATTTATGCAGCAGCTCGGACAGGTGCTACGCTATTTCGGCCACCGTGTATGTCTACGGTGTTGCCCATGACGCGGAAAACGAATAGCTAGCTGTGTGTGGAAACTCCCGAGATTCGAACCATTCTGGACCACGGGGAACACCCAAGGGTGTGTAAACCATATGTACCGAAAGCATCATTATTACTGTCAATAACAACGCATCATCTGCGACGAGAAAGAAATACTAAGCAGGTCACGTAAAATTGAAAAAATAGTTCAAAACAAGTTTAGAAATAATCATTATTTGATTAAAATATAGCATCAGATTTTATAATCCGTGAAATACGCATAGTGTTTATTCACATCCACTGCTTTCCAGTTTCCGCCAAAAGCGTAGCGTACTAATGGAATAAGCCCAAAGAGCATTCATCTGTCCTGTGTCCAAACCTCATTCCTCTTTCAAAACATCTTCGCTCCCCCATAACGTAACTCGATAACTTGCATAAATTAGCTCCTGAAAAATGGAAGAAGCCTGCCAAACATGTGGATGATTCTTTGTCCTGACCGCTCGGTGTGTAGTAGGTATTCGTGCATGACATGCCAATAATACCGCGATGACGAGTCTGCTCGGCTCATATAAACGTGACATGATCCATTCCTTTTTTCTTCTATGAACCACGGATTTTCGAGCCGCAGGTGAAGCCGAGCGGGGCAGGTGCCCTGCTGGCAGCAGCCCATCAGAGTCTAGTCCTGCATCATTAGCGGACGCCAACCGGGCGGCAGAGCGACTTATCACGTCACGCTGCTGGCGACTGGCGGCTGGCGGCTACGGCTGCCCGAGAGTCGCCGCAGCACTCAGCGCAGCTTCAGGTGAGGCAGTGAGGCAGCCAGGCACGCCGCCGTTTTCAGCACAGCTTCAGGTGAGGCAGTGAGAGCCGCCGCCGTCCTCAGCACGGCTTCAGGTGAGGCAGTGAGGCAGCCAGGCACGCCGCCGCCCTCAGCACAGCTTCAGGTAGGGCAGTGAGAGTCGCCGCAGCACTCAGCGCAGCTTCAGGTGAGGCAGTGAGGCAGCCAGGCACGCCGCCACCCTTAGCACAGCTTCAGGTGAGGCAGTGAGGCAGCCAGGCACGCCGCCGTCCTCAGCACAGCTTCAGGTGAGGCAGTGAGGCAGCCAGGCACGCCGCCACCCTCAGCACAGCTTCAGGTGAGACAGTGAGGCAGCCAGGCACGCCGCCACCCTCAGCACAGCTTCAGGTGAGGCAGTGAGGCAGCCAGGCACGCCTCTGTCCTCAGCACAGCTTCAGGTGAGGCAGTGAGGCAGCCAGGCACGCCTCTGTCCTCAGCACAGCTTCAGGTGAGGCAGTGAGAGCCGCCGCCGTCCTCAGCACGGCTTCAGGTGAGGCAGCGAGGCCCGCCCTCAGCACAGCTTCAGGTGAGGGTGACGAGGCAGCCAGGCACGCCGCCGTCCTCAGCACAGCTTCAGGTGAGGGTGACAGGGCAGCGAGGCCCGCCGCCGCCCACGAACGCACATCATTAATGCTCCACCACCTCCACTGTTTATCGACCAGCGCCAGAGCTAAAAGGGGGATTTAAGCGTCACGCGTGTGCCGCGAAATACAAACAGAAGCGTGGGCGCCAAGCTCACGGACCACGCCACTCGACCGCTCGCCCGACTGGAGTGGCAGGCGGTAGGCATCCGATGCAGCCTGCGCTTCACGCTCACGTCCCGCTGACGCGTAAGCTGGCTTACCGCACTGAGTCATCGGTTGTTACCGCGCTGAGTTGCCCATTGCTACTGCACCGAGTTGCCGATTGTTACGGCACAAATACCAAAGAAGCATGTCTAACTAGCTGCCGTGTGTGCCCTCCAAGTGTGTGTGACGCTGCTCGTAAGCAATGTCACGGTCGCCATAAACGTAATAACCTCAGTGAGGCGCTAAATGTTCTTGGTTTTTGGGCTCAACCCTGATAGGATTGTATTGTAGCCCGTTGATTGTGGGTCTTTGATGATGAATAATGGAAACATTGAGCTTAAAGAGATAACACGCGTAAAAAGTTTGTTATTCCGCTTTTCCGTAGCACAAACATGCAGTTACCACACTTGATAACAAGATTTTAACCTCAACAAGTCCAGAGAAGCTACAAAAGTCACTTCTGGTCTTTGTCTTGGGCCGCCACGCAGCTATTAATAAAGCAGTTACAGTTGAACGTACCAATATCGTGTGCTCGCTTCTTAGATAGCCCAATCATGTTTCCCGTCCGTTGACACCATTCTGGTGTGAAAGACCACTGGAAAGTAAGCACGGTCCCAGCTCTGCGTATTTGGATTTCCCAATGCTAGTTGGGAGCGCCGCAAATGCCTCGGAACAGCAGCCAACCGTCCCAGAGGCACCGTTAGGGCGTGCAGTGACGCCATTCGTCGAGCCAGCTATCTTTAGCTCTCGTTTTATCTTCACAGCGGCCGATAAGGCAGCTGAACTGTTCCCAAGGCATGGACGATGCCTAACGGGGCACTGACCGGGCTGCTGACCTGCGGCGATCGCGGGCGCTGCAGGTCAAGGCCGGACCTAACGGACCAGGGTCGGTGACTTACCCTCGTCCGTTTGTTTGTGACGCGCTCGCTTAGGTTTTGGTCCAATTGCATTTAATCTGGGAAGTTCCCAGCAACGAAGCCCGCCGCGGTTTTAGACAAATGTCCGGCAAAATCGACCGCCGAATGCAGACTTTCTCCGCAGGCCACATTGGCATTTTTCGCCGGGCGGGATAGGAACCATGCTGATACAAAGGCTGCCGTCCCAGCAGGGCTCCTTCCTATTGACCATAAGCCTGAAGGATGATCTGATCGACCTGACTCTAAGCCGCACCGAGTTTGGCAGTGGGGAGGGAGAGAGCCCGACCCGGCAGTGTCTTCCATCCAGGTCACGAGTAAAAACGCATCACAGCGCTTGGACAGAGCCTTCCCTTACTATTCTATTTGGACGGGACCTTTACAAAAAAGCAAGCTGGGTTCTCTTGTGTTGAACTTATGAACTAAATGCAATTGAGTAATAACCCGGCGACTATTCCCAAAGCCAACCGGGCAAGACATTTGATGTCGACAGTTATGTGATACCTAATGCGTTGAGCTATACTGATCAAACTGCACCACGCCGGTCAAGGTACTGACCAGGGCATATACAGGTTCGGATGGGGGCATTGACCTCTACTGACCAGAGCACTGACCAGCTCGGATCGGGGCATTGACCTGTACTGACCACGGCGTATACGGGTTTGGATCGGGGCATTGACCCGTACTGACCAGAGCATTGGCCATCTCGGATCGGAGCATTGACCTGTACTGATCAGGGCATTTACAGGTTCGGATCGGGGCATTGGCCTGTACTGACCAGGGCATATACAGATTCGGATCGGGGCATTGACCTGTACTGATCAGGGCATATACAGGTTCGGATCGGGGCATTGACCTGCACTGACAAGAGCATATACGGGTTTGGATCGGGGCGTTGACCTGTACTGGCCAGGACGTTGACAGGTTCGGATCGGGGCGTTGACCTGCGCTGACCAAGACGTCGACAGGGTCGGATCGGGTCGTTGATCTGTACTGACCACGGCGTTGACAGGTTTGGATCGGGGCGTTGACCTGCACTGACCAGGGCGTTGACTTTTCCCAGGGCGGACACGGTGCCGGCCGGGTTCTCCTTCAGGTGGATCCGCCAGGTGGCGAAGAATTCGCGCTCGGCGGCGTAGCAGCGCCACAGGCACTGGATCAGCTGCGCGGCCGCAGGAATCTGGCGGTTGAAGTGCTTCTGCCGCTGCTTCTGCTGCACCTTCAGCGCAAAGCCGGAGCCCAGGATACCCTGCCGGCAGCGCCGAGTGGTCACGGAGATCCGGAGGCTTGGTCAACTTCGCGTGATGTTTTCCTGGACTTTGTGGTGGAGGTCAGGCGTCCGTCCGATGTGAGGCCAAGCGCAAAAATTAGTACAACGGATATGGCTAGGCACGATACAAGCATATTTTGAGCATTGGGGACGTCGCCACATGCAAGCACGCATGAACACGCGGGCGAAAGCTGTTTTTTTTTGTAGCCCGGGGAGTCAGAATTGCTAAGCGCATCAGCTGTTTGAGTCGGAGCTGTCAAGGAAGCCTCATCGCAGTCCGTGATATCACAAGACCGTCTTCAGTACAGCAAAGATGTATCCAGGTGTAATGACGTCTCCGGAATTCGATCATTACGCGTCAGAGAGAGGTCAAGTGCCCTGCTCCTGCAGTGACCTTCCTTACCGCTGGCAGTGCGAAGAAGCTGATTGCGAATACGGAAAAGCAGGAGGCCACCATCTTGCCCAGCCAAGTCTTGGGTACCGTGTCGCCGTAGCCTATCGTCGTCACGGTGATCTGTAAAGGCGGATGTGGTACAGACACACCTTTACCGCCAACGCTCGGACCACAGATAGCTGTGCGACAGCGACGGCGACGGCGACGCTGTGCGTGCGACGGTGACGTTGTGCGCGCGACGGCGTTAGCTGTGCCCACCGTTTTGTGCTTGATTGCTGTAATCTTGTACGCCACCGTAGAGAATTGATGTCGAACCGGGATAACTGTTTTGAATGTTGTGCCGAACTTCCATGTGGGTTAACCCGGCATCGTACGCATCATCGTATCTCCCATGGTATTTGTGTTGTAAGAACTGCTCACTGCTACGTGGAGGCCGATCTCTGAACATCATCGATCATTTCAACATCGATGCCATATAAATGCTCACATACGCGGAACAAATAGCGCGATGGCTTACAACGTTTCCGCACAGAACTCTAGCTATATATGAAATGTGACGACGAGCTTCTCGAGTAGAGCTATCACTGGATATGTGTGTGGATAAGTGACCTCCGTCCGGCGAGTCAGACAGCGACCTTATCTGGCGAGTCAGACAGTGCCCCTGTCTGGTGATTAAGACGGTGACCTGTCTGACGAGTCAGACAGCGCCCCTGTCTGGCGAGTAAGACAGCGACCCTGTGTGGTGAATTAGACAGCAACCCTTTCTGGCGGGGCAGACAGTGACCCTGTCTGGTGAGTTAGACAGCGACCTTTTCTGGCGAGTACACAGCGACCCTGTCTGTTGAGTCAGACACTCACCCTGTCCAGTGTGTCAGACAGCCGCCCTGTCCTGGGAGTCTACCACGGCGGCGTGCCCTGTCCGGGGAGTCTACCGCGGCGGCGTGCCCTGTCCTGGGAATCTACCGTGGCGGCGCGCTCTGTCCTGGGAATCTACCATGGCGGAGCGCCCTGTCATGGGAGTCTACCGTGGCGGCGCGCCCTGTCATGGGAATCTACCATGGCGGAGCGCCCTGTCATGGGAGTCTACCGTGGCGGCGCGCCCTGTCGTGGGAGTCTACCGTGGCGGCGCGCCCTGTCGTGGGAGTCTGCCGCGGCGGCGTGCCCTGTCGTGGGAGTCTGCCTCTGCGGCGTGCCCTGTCGTGGGAGTCTACCGCGGAGGCGTGCCCTGTCGTGGGAGTCTGCCCCTGCGGCGTGCCCTGTCGTGGGAGTCTGCCCCTGCGGCGTGCCCTGTCGTGGGAGTCTGCCGCTGCGGCGTGCCCTGTCGTGGGAGTCTGCCTCTGCGGCGTGCCCTGTCGTGGGAGTCTACCGCGGAGGCGTGCCCTGTCGTGGGAGTCTGCCCCTGCGGCGTGCCCTGTCGTGGGAGTCTGCCCCTGCGGCGTGCCCTGTCGTGGGAGTCTGCCTCTGCGGCGTGCCCTGTCGTGGGAGTCTGCCTCTGCGGCGTGCCCTGTCGTGGGAGTCTGCCGCGGAGGCGTGCCCTGTCGTGGGAGTCTGCCCCTGCGGCGTGCCCTGTCGTGGGAGTCTGCCCCTGCGGCGTGCCCTGTCGTGGGAGTCTGCCTCTGCGGCGTGCCCTGTCGTGGGAGTCTGCCTCTGCGGCGTGCCCTGTCGTGGGAGTCTACCGCGGAGGCGTGCCCTGTCGTGGGAGTCTGCCCCTGCGGCGTGCCCTGTCGTGGGAGTCTGCCTCTGCGGCGTGCCCTGTTGGCCGCACTTAATTAAGTGGGGCGTCGTGCCAGGCTATCGGGTTCGCTCAGACCGAGGTCGGGAGATACGGGCCATCGCCGGGTCGTGGACGTCCCTTCACCGCTGTATACGACCCGCTGTGACGGCAGCGGCGTGGCCCGGCGCGGCCGCGCGTCACCCCTCCGCGCTCCGGGACGACACGTGGGGTTCGTGCGGCGCTATCGCCACGCGGCGAGGTCACACGTCGTCGGCGTGCTGTGCTGCGCGAGATTCCGTGCCGTCGTCCGGCGCCCAGGGGACATGGATTGCGGTGCGTGACTGGCGGAGCTGCTGAGACGGATCGCGGGAGAGCAAGCTCGAGAAAACCGCAGGGTAGCGGCCTCGGTGGCAAGATGATGAAGTTCCACCCGGTCTGCACGCACAGGCATTATCTCACTTTGTGAAGCATGGCACGTCTAAAATCCGTCTAGAAAGACAGGTTCAGTGTCAAAATGCTTGCTTTCTAAAGCTGTCCCTGTCTGCTGGAAAGTCATTTAGTGACCGATTACCAAAGTTTTCGTGAGAGGATGAACCAGCAGAAGCTTCTCGAGAAGCCGCTGGCGTATCACTGCCGGTAAGTTCCCCACTAAGCACCTTATCTCCCGAAAACAATCGCCACTCTCGTCGGCGGCTCCGCCCCCAGGCCTTGCTGTGACCCGCCCGGCATGGCGCCCCCCCCCCCCCAACCTGGCGCCCACCGGCCTGGCGTCCCCCGTCTGGTGCATCCCTTCCCCCAGAGCGGCGCCCTGACTCGCGCTGCCCGCCCGGACCGGCGGAAGGCGCGGTCATCAAGCGGCGGCTGCGGCTGACTGCGGCCGACTGCGTAGCGCCGCAGGGGATCAGGGCCTGATCCGGGCCGTGGACAGTGCGCCGCCTCTCCATCACCGAGGATCAGCCCCCCCCCCTCCCCCTCCTCCCTTCCTCAACGAATAAGATAGGTCCCCACGGCGGAGGTGGAAGGAAGGTCCGCACCGGACTGCGGATGGGCGAAGATGCGTCACAAGGCGGGAGGGGGGGGGGGGGGGGCGGACGGAACCATGCGATTTGGCTCGCTGAGATGTGGATTGAAAGGAGACTCGGGAAGACTTGATCGAGTAACGTCTTGACTTGGTGAAACACTTTTCATGCCAAGGCCAAGATCGCGGGTTATTTGCATGTGAATGGGCTTTTGTTTACGTTTTGGCGTTTTGTCCTGAAAACTTGGTGACTGATGGGTCCAGCGGTGCGTGAGATAGTCGATTAACTTTTATAAAATCTCCAACCAAACATTGCGGGTAGCGTAGAAGGTTTATACAAAACCTAGTGTCGTTGAGAGGAGAAAAAAAGACCTTCAGCTCAATGTTTGATGCAGCGATCAGTTGATCACAACGAACTTTCTAAAATACAGCCTTATCTCGTCCTTATCCCTTATCCCTTATCTCGTTTGTCTGCGCAATCCTAAAATACGTATATGCTACTCACGTCTTGAAATCGCTTCTTACTTTCTGGTAAGAAAACTGTGTGCTATTGGCACGTCTTATTTATTAAGAATCAGTATGGAACCACCATAGAATCAACATTATTGCTAGTCGTCATCTCTACACACCATGTATCTCCCTTACATCAAAAATAAGGTGAATTGGGTACCCAAGAGCCAAGCAAATTACTTCAACTGGTGCGAGATCTGGATATGTGATTCCCATGTGTATAATTGTGAATCTCTCCTCTTATAAACGCCTTACTGTTCTCCCTTCAGACCGCAATCCAGGGACCCATGGTGCGCATCGTCTGGAGCCTTGTGCATTAATGAGGCTATCGATAGCTTGGTGTAACGATTAAGACGGGGTACAAGAATCACAGATGAAAGAACTGCTCGGACCATCGCCCTCGCCTAGTGCGTTAGTATGTACACAGTGTTTCGGCCAGTTAACTTTTTGGCCGTCATCGGGTGTCATGAGGCCCTGAGAAGAACTGGACGATGTTTGACCTTGAGCCACGTACGCGCTACATCACGAATTCTCCTCTTGTAGTTGCTGAGAACCGAACCAGGGTCTTCTGATTGCGCGTCCAGCGCTCTACCAACTTAACTAGCACTGTCTTTTCCTAACTGTTCTTTCCTGTTGCTTAGTTACGGGAGCGCCGCACTCGTAAACAGAAACCCTGTTCCGAAAACCAGCAGTTTCGAGGAGATAATTTGGGTTGTTTCGTGCGCGTGGCTGAAAGACAAACATCATCTAGTCCTTCCCAGGACTCCATAAAACCTGAAGACCGCCGGGGTCGAGACATAGACGGAAGCCAACCGAAACGTTGTGTGCGTGCTGGTACACCAGATGAGGACGATGGTCAGAACTGTGCTGCCATTCGTGATGACAATCGATATTTTCCCAGGCGATAAGGTATTTAATCTCTAACAAATCCCCTTGTTAAAATCCTCCAACCTTAAGGGGCCTCCAAACAGCTTCGGGGGTCGACTCAGGAGCTGTCCTTAGGACCGTTCCCACGTGTGTGTGAAGCAGGGTACAGCACTGGTCGCCACGGGAGCCAGCGAGTGTTCTCAGCGCCGTCGCCGGCGTCTTCTCACGACACCCCGCCACAGGGAGCGTTCTCACGGCCGCACTCGGCACCCTCTCACCACACCCCACCACAGAGAATGTTCTCCCGGCCGTCCTCGGCGCCACTCGCCACACCCCGCCACAGGGAGCGTTCTCACGGCCGCACTCGGCACTCTCTCACCACACCCCACCACAGAGAATGTTCTCCCGGCCGTCCTCGGCGCCACTCGCTACACCCCGCCACAGGGAGCGTTCTCACGGCCGCACTCGGCACCCTCTCACCACACCCCACCACAGAGAATGTTCTCCCGGCCGTCCTCGGCGCCACTCGCCATACCCCGCCACAGGGAGCGTTCTCACGGCCGTACTCGGCACCCTCTCACCACACCCCACCACAGAGAATGTTCTCCCGGCCGTCCTCGGCGCCACTCGCCATACCCCGCCACAGGGAGCGTTCTCACGGCCGTACTCGGCACCCTCTCACCACACCCCACCACAGAGAATGTTCTCCCGGCCGTCCTCGGCGCCTACTTACCACACCCCACCACAGCGCGTCGGCGTAGCTGTGGAAGTCGGACGGCTTGCCGTCCTTGTCCACGGCGTCCTTCTCAGCCAGGAACATGAAGTAAGAAGAGAAGATGAGGCCTAGGAAGCCGATGTATAGTGTAGTAATCAGCTCCTGAGGATGCGGCGGCCGGTTAGACTCTCAGTTCCTGAGGACAATGGTGGCCGGTTAGATTCACAGTTCCTGGGTACAACAGCATCCAGCTAGATTCACACCTCCTGAGGACAACGGCGGCCGGTTAGACTCACAGTTCCTGAGGACAACGGTGGCCGGTTAGACTCACAGTTCCTGAGCACGACAGTGGTCGGTTAGACTTACAGTTCCTGAGGACGGCAGTGGCCGGTTAGACTCACAGTTCCTGAGGACAACAGTAGCCGGTTAGACTCACAGGTCCTGGGGACGACGGCATCCGGCTACATTCACCACAGTTCCTGGGTACAACAGCATCCAGCTACATTCACAGTTCCTGGGGACGACAGCATCCGGCGACATTCACAGTTCCTGGGACGACGGCATCCGGCTACATTCACAGTTCTTGGGAACGACGGCGGTCCGTAAGACTCACATTTACGGCAGGTATTCGGTCACTGGCAAAACATCCTCGTCATGACAAAACGCACACATCCAAAACAGATCAGAAATTCAGCGTCATTTATATCTGCCGTTAACGCGAAGAAAGTGCCGCATGCTAATTCCGTCATCCACACCCAATGGGGGAGCGTGCTGCAAAGAGGCTTCGGGGTTCAGAGCGTTTCGTGTGGATGGTTATACATGCATCGTTGTTGGGCGAACCTGAATGCCTTACCACGAACACGAGTGCATAGTTTCATTTCCGAGGCAGCTCCAATGACATGGCAGGTATTAGTTCGCCCGCTTTAGCCTGACCTTAAATCGACCTTTGCATGTGACCCATGTCCTGGCGGGGCACTCCCCAGCAAGGCCAGAATTGTTCCGGCTTTTCCCGACCGATAAAGGTGCTAATGAATGCATACAAAGTGCACCAGAAAGGTAGAGTACGCAAAGCGCCAGGAGGTTTCTTTCATATGCTTTGCCGTTGTCATATGTTCAAAAAGCAATCCAGCAGCTTCACTGAAAACAACATCAGCACGCAAGGAGCCGTAGCTGTGCCCTCTGGAATAGGGGCATTGTAAGACAAGTTGTTCGTCAAATACCGGCCTGCGATTTCGACCCAAAGTGCCGTCTGGTGCTTCCATCCAGCTCTGGCGTCATTTCTGGTTGGCAAGTAGCTGGCGTTAATCAAGTCGAGTAATAGCGGCGACAATCTCGTGTTATCGATTGCAGCCATTTGTTTTCAAGCCCGTGGCTGAATTCGACTGCGGAGTATTACGATGCCTCAGGGGTTATGCGAAACCTGTCCCAGTCACGACTGAAACCAGCCAATTCATGAACTAACAGACGGCTACAATGTGTTCACCATTGTCCTCTAACGCATGATCGGGCGTGAATATAGTTTACGGATGCATATACTCATGTAACGCAACTGATGTCAACCACCGGTCCTGACAATGGCAACACATCTCAGTATCTATGTGTGACAGTCTCAAGGCTGCCTGTGAGCTCTTAACACGACTGTAATAGGCTTTCTTTAACAAACACCCCATCATCAGGGCTGAAAATATGTATTAAAACATGCAAAAGCATACACTAAAGATTGATCAGCTATCACTCCTTCCTTACTCAACACCTTCTGTCTACCCAACCGCCATCCTTCCCTCCCCTCTCCCATATCCGTCCCTCTCTTCTCATCCTGTTCTCCCTCTCCATCTCCCCCTCACTTTCCCCTCTCCCCTCCCCTCCTACTCCTTCCATTTTCTTCCTCCCTCCTTACCTCTTACCCTCCTTCCCTCCTTCTCCCCCCTCCGTCGTTCCGTCCTCCCGCCTTCCCTTCCGCTGTCTCCGTCCCCAGTAGACTGACCTGCCGGTGGATGAACACGACGGAGCCGAGCAGTCGCCAGGTGCCGCCCTGCCGGTCCACGTGCAGCATGCGTAGGATCTGCAGGAAGCGGATGCCGCGGATGGCCGACGTGGCGAACACCTGGCCATTGGAGCCCGCCGACAGCACCACAATGGAGGCGACCACCACAATCAGATCTGCCGGGCACACGGGGTCGGGGCCTCCTCAGGTGGGGAACGCAGGGTCGGGCCTCCTGAGTCAGGACACGCAGGGTCGGGGCCTCCTGAGGCGGGGCACGCAGAGTCGGAGTGTCCTGGCTGAGCCAGGACGCACGGGGGCAGTGTCCTGACTGAGCCAGGACGCACGGGGTCAGTGTCCTGACTGAGCCAGGACGCACGGGGTCAGTGTCCTAACCAGGGCAGAGATAACAGGGTCGCAGCCGCCCGAGAGCACCACGATTCAGGTCACCGCCGCAGTCCAGTTCCCCGGACGCTCACAGACGACCGCAATCACGCCTGTCAACGTGACATGTTGAGAAAAGGACGAGTGAAGCCATCACCGTCGAAGTCACCGCCTACGGTCTTGGGCTGCATAAGCCCGACTGGTGTCTCCTCTGCCGGAGTTGGCGCAGCACATAAGACCCTCTGGTCGTCCCTTGTGGGAGACGTTAGAGGACGAGGGAAATGGAGCAATTCGCGATCGTCAGTCGCCTGGTCAGTGATCTTCGGAACGTCCGTGAAAGGACGGAAATCGGTGTTAAACGCCATATGCCGCCATCACCAGCAGCACTCAACAGAATCTGAGTGTAAAGAACGCTTTTCCGGGGGTTTAACGCCTTCTAGAACATTTGGGAATGTGTCATGAAATTGTGCAAGCATCTGTATGCTTGAAGAAAGTTCTCTGCGACTATTTCTAGCTGCACATGCTTTCCTACTCCAATCTGGCACAGTAGAATAAAATGCTGATGCAGCTTACATGGCGAAAGCTCTTGCTGCATTTTGAAAGACGCCTTAAACTGCATGACACTCGCCACAGCAGGCCCAATAAATGGCTAGCACCAACACAGTCATCGCTGGAAGCCAGGGACGCAGCCTGAATTTTCTTAACGGGTGGCAGAGAGGGAAGACCGAAACTCGGTGAGTACGAATCACATCAGTTTCTAAATTTCTGTTGGAAGCCATCTATGGTGAATGCAACGGGCCTAACAGAGAGGTGATGGGGGGGGGGGGGGGAGGGGGATGGCTCTTTTGCCTGCGCCTCTGCAAGCAGCGGTGATGCGTTTCCACCGTTTTCATTTTTAATTGCGCTGGTACATCGCACTGATGCCAGTGCTCCGTCACCCTGGGTGCCCCCGGTCGTATAGTTCCCATCAATGCGCATCCCGCGAGAGGGCTGACGGCCATCACCCTCAGGCGTCGGCGTCACGACACCATCGGTCGGCGTACGGATTAGGGGGTGGCGGCTGCGCGCGACTGTCTGTCATGCCGACCCTGGGATGGAGGTGCGCTGGTGTCCAGGATGACTTAACATCACAATCATATCGACCGCTCCTAGCCGCCAAAGCCGTAGCGCGTGGAGCGTCTCAGGAAGTCTGTCTAGGGGATGGGAGGCGGAGCCAGTTTTGGAGACGTTACTTTCCATTTATGGCAATTGGGATGAAGTCGAGTATTCCCAAAAAGTTGAATATTCCCCAAAAGTGCGGCGTTATGACCCCAAGTCCCTTGTATCTACGCCTGCCATGGCTAATGACATTCTACCAGCAGGATGTCCGAAATGACCCGTGCGTTTTATATGTATCATGTAGCTATTAGGCTTGAGTCGGCGCGTTGTAGAGCCACAGTCGTGCAGTGTGCCTGGATAGATATGCTAACGCGTATACACACACTCACAATTAGTGTTAACGCATCCTGTAATTATGCAGATATCAGAACATCCAGGAGCTTCCATAACTTTCAGCGAAATTCTGCATTCATGCAGTTTGAGTCTGCTTTCATGCAGAGCCGACCGCCCACCTCTCGTTTTTCTAATTCCATCACCAACCGTTCCAACTAAGGCGCTGAAATTTGGAACGTCCTATGACTTTGGCGTATATGACGCCTTTCGCCGGTTGCACTCAGTATTAATATTCCCGTCTATGCGTAATAGAACATGTTTCGAACTGTTTGTCTTATTCAAATTTCATCAACAGTCAGGTTCGTTCTAGCGCGAACTGTAAAGAATCTATAATGAAACTAGCCCAGACCGTGTCATCCGTTTGGGTACGAGTGTTTAAATTATCCACGCTATGCGTGCAACTGCCCACGCGGCCAGCGGCACTGAAATATCATTCAGCTTCGAGCCCGTCTTGTATTCCCACGAAGACCTGGGACATTCACGCCATACTTTATGGTAAAAGCGTAATGTTCGTCCACCGGTTCGACAGAGCGGACGGAAGTCGAGCGCGCCTTGTTAAACCGCAGCAAAACACGGCCTAGCAAACGCAACAACCAGTGAAAACTCCGGCGGCGTCAGACCGCGCCCGTCAAATCACAGTCACAAAAACGGTCTGACGGGGATTCGACCTCGACTCCAATCTTTTCTGTCGCAAACAAAACCACAAAACACTTCGGCCAACCTGCCAGACGCCAAGCCCCGTTCAGATAACGACGAGACCGACGGTCGGACGCCACCGGAAATACGGCGCTTCCGGCAGCGGCGGCGGCGGCGGCAGCGGCGACGGCGGCGGCCTGGGAGCGGTACGCCGGGCGTCACCTGCAGCGCGGGCGGCGCCAGTTGGCTGTCACCGCGGCGCACCGTGACAGATTGGGTACTGAAATATGTAGTGGCCGCCTGCCGCGCCGCCGCCGTCGCCACTTGCCGGTCGGTAGCGCTGGAGGTGGGCCGCTGCTCGGAGGCGGCGTGGTAGATGGTCGTCCGACCAAGCGGCGGTGGGAAGTGGCACTGCCGGCGACCAGAGCTGTGGTCTCCGTGGGTTTGGCTAGGGCTGTTGCGCTCCGCCCTGTGTGGAGAAGCTTGTTTGGCGTAATGGTGTCATTTCGATAACGCATGTTGTAGCCAGGCAACCCTTGGCTGCGACGCTGTCATAGGATAAAAGTTCGTAGGACTTACGTTCCTCGGAAAAATCGTCGCGCAAATGCATCATGTAGATGTTCGTAGAAAATAGAATTTCCTCAAGTTTTCAAGTTGCAAGGATCAAATTGGGGAAAAGTTTGTATACGGCAAAAGTTCGTGTGGAAATGGAGGTTTAACATAGGGTAACATTTTGTCCACAGATACAGAGATAATGCTAATTTTTTATGGGACAAAAACTCGACAATGCCAAAGTTTTGCGGAGGAAAAAAGCTTGCCGTGCTGCGTTCGTATATGGCAAACATGAGTCGATCACAAAAGTTCTTTAGGGACAAAATTTCGTCGGGGACAAATGTTTCGCGTAGGTTGCACGTGACATGATTGGGTTGAAACTTACAGAGACATGCCTGGGCACTCTTCAAAACGCGGCAGACGCTTAAATCAAAACAAGAACGCGCGCCTGGCGTTACAAAAAAGCGTAGTATTGCAACAAACGGTTGATGGGACAGTTTGGACTCGAAAACAATTAACATTTATTTCCTCATTGTATTCTGTTGGTGCTGCAGTAGCACTACCCGGTGCTATCCTTAGAGTAACTAGTTCCAGGGTTTCGCTAGAATATCCTTTTGGAACATGCTCCAAAGGTGGTGCATTTCCTTTAAAGCCAGTTCATAAAATATGATCCTTCATGACTTAAAGCATCGGGGGATTTAGGTAAAAAGGCCTTCTCCTTGATTTCTAAGGCCTCGGTTTTGGACTAACGTATTCTCAGGTAGGCGATAAGAGTTTTTCTTCTTCCAGGAAATGGGATTTTTTGTGGAACGTACCAGGCATCCCAGGTGCTAGATACACGCCAGCCATGTTACATATTTTGGCCCAAAGAAGGCTCGTAAAATTTTGGTAGCACTTGACAGTAGCACAGGTAGCACAAATATAGCACTTGACCACGACAGCTGACGGCGGCAGAATCGGCTGAAAGCTATCGTCAGCTATTACGGACTGGAGGTACCACTTTTGAGATGTGTTGATCTGCACTCCGCGGACATGCGGGCCTTAAAGTGGCACCTCTACTTTTATGAATGACGTCAGTACAAAAGTCCGTTTGTGATTGGCGCAGCAGGCGGCGGAAGAGTTTTACAGAGAAACGATGCAACGTGTCTGTTTCCCAAAGCCAAAGTGTGCTTCGACAAGGCCGCTGTGAAAAACGCAACAGGGAAGACATTAAAGCCATAGTATGGCATGGCGTTGAATTCGCGTGATAACGACCCTATATTTGCACATATTTTACGAACTAAAGTGTCCCAAGTTATATATATATATATATATATATATATATATATATAATATGTATCGTGGAAGATGTTAAAATAAAGTGTCCCGAGCTTTCGTTTTGTACTGCACAAGCATTTTGACCAATGCGCGCATTGCGAACATTGAAGAATGCTGACGTTGGAAGAAGTAAAGCATATGAAAAGTATTGCTACCATAGTGATGAGCAGGTAGTCCAAATGAAGTTCTCCAGTCAGAGCGGCCACTTGAACTTCAAATTCTCAGCTTTTCAGAGAGATTTCTAGAAAATTGGTATTACCCATCAATTACCCATTACCCATCTGATCTCACAAGAAGTGAAAAGTACTAAAAAGGTGACATGCTTCCTTTAAAAAACCCGATCATGGACACCACTCCCCGTAATAAACCCTTCCGAGATTGCGCAGTGCTGCGCAGAGCTGTGCATACTGTTACCTTAACCAGCACGGCCAATGTTTTGACATAACGACATAAAATGTGTATGATTTGGTAGGTACCGCCTACTTGGTACATCACTCCACAGATAACATGCTGATGTACGTAACCAAGCAGTAGCAAAATAGTTGGGAAATCTGGCATTTGTTAAAATTGTCTCAAGCATGCCTGCATTAATAACCTAGGCTGGTCTATCGGTGCGGAGACTAATCAAAACACATTGCAAACAGCTGGAGTGCACATGCCCCTTAAGGCAGCTTACCACCAGTCGTTTGTCATATGTACATCGTCTCCTTTTGCATGCACCAGTATTGGCAAGCTTTGAGCAACATCCATACCATTGATCTCTCATAAAGGTTGTAACACAAAGGCTGTCACACTGCAA